ACTTATAAGGCCATGGAGTAGCAAGAAGCTTCGTTTGACCTTGATACAAGTCTACAAGTCTCGACACGGTGAGAAGTAGCAAATTAAGACAACGATCAACAAAAATGCCCCTCCCAAGCCTAACTGATTCCAGTGATAAGACGGCGCATACTACGGAGCTGATTTTTCCCCATATATCCTTTCCACTTCTGAGAAAAAGGGAAAAAGGGTTGGGGGAGGGCGGAGCATTGTGAAAAGGAGGAAAACTTCAAAAAAAAGCCGAAATGGTCTGTAAGCGCGCTTTTTCCAGAATATTAGCAATGAATTCACAAAGATGTCAAACAAAGGACAAATTCCGTTCGTCGAAGTGAACGGTAGACAAGTGGCCGATAGTAACTTCATAATCGATCATCTCATTGAAGAATTCCACAAGGTTAGTAAAAACGCCTGAATGGGCGGAGTTTCCCACAGTAGTACCACACACCTTTCCAGAAAAGCATCGACGATCGTTTGACACCGATGGAAAAGTCATATGCGAGAGCTTATCACGCTCTGATTGAGGATAGCTTGCGTTGGTACGTCAATTATCGATTAGCTCATATATTGCGCGCCTAATGAATTTGCCAATTTCAGGGTGCTGATCTATTCACGAGGACGTGACAATAAATGGTTCGCCACGGAAAAGGGTTTTCTACCATATTTCACCGGAATTAAGAAATTCGCTTTCAAAAGTATCATGTGCGAACGGCTGCGGAAACGAGTAGGTTTATCAGACTGTGTTTATGGGTCCTGCAGCGAATTCTGCACTATGAGCCAAACAAATATTTTCCTCTTATCAACGAACCTTCTCGCACACACAAGTTCAGCCATGTCTACACCTGCTTATTATCCGCGTTTTTGTCTTGTCATGACTGTAACTATCAGCACGCGCCGCGAGCGGTTTGCGTGGCAGCACCCAGACATTAACCCAATCTCGTAAAGTTCGCAGAGCGCTGCTCATCGCACATGCCTCCCAGAAGCAGCAGTTGCCATCAATATGATCAAAATCAACCGGACTCAACTAATCAATATGTCGATTTTTCAGATTATGTCACAAGCGACATCGCAGGGTATGGGACGCAATACACCGGAAGAAGTGGTGATACTTGCGAAAAAAGATCTCGATGCGATGAGCATGTTCCTCGGCAATAAGAAATTCTTCTTCGGCGACAAACCGACTACGGTACTTATCGACTAGCCCTCACTACCGCTTGTTATCGATTGGGATTTGATAATTTAGCTCGCTAATGCAGCGATGTTGCCGCCATTTGGCGCGCAGTTCCTCTACACACCCACTTGTTTTGCCTGAAATCAAAACGCATATGGAACAGAGTACCCCAAACTTGGTTTGTCGATTTTGTAATTTTTTTTCGTTGGTTAGAACACCGCTTCGGAGGGGCAGTGAGACCACACCACATTCGTTCTCTTTTCGTCTGCGCCCTCTCACCGAGAAAACGCTCTCATAGCATAACTCTTCTCTACGATCCCAGAGCGTTGGCAAGCCAGAAAATGGGTGCTACTTAAGACTACCACTTCCAATAATTCCCTCGCACCTGCCAATTTTTCCAGGAGGGTAATCAAAAGCCATCGTAATAGACAGTCTAACGTGGCCGCCTCCGTAAGACACAGACGCGCGGCTGCGATGCGCCCGATGTGGCACTCATTGCGTACATTTTACGAAGCGTGATTAGAGTTATCATACATCAGTTGCGTGTTAAAGGCAGTCCACGTCTACGTAATCGCGTGGACGGAGAAAGTCAACTATTTTCTCTTCATCCATGGCGCCATCTCCTCTTCGTTTTCGCAGAATGCTGCGGGGGGAAGGTGCTTGATTGTTTCCCCCAGGACAGCCAATCCGAACTCTGCTTTCAAGCCTCCAACTTCGCAGGGATGGGGACGGACAAGACAATCGTAAGTTGTCGCATCGCGGCGCGAGGCGTGTCGTGTAGGCCGCGACGTTCACCGTCATCACCAGCGCAGCATATTACGATTGTCTTGTCACGTAACCCATGGGTATAGCAATACCGTCCGCTTTGCGATCGCACGCATGTTTTTCAAGTTTTGCGGCACTTAATCGCTCTATGATGGCAACATTAAGAGCCCTACCGAATTTGAGATTATTGGAGCTTCACAAAACCATTATAAATCCCTTTTTCAGGTAGCCTTTGTAAATCGAATGAAGGAAACATATTGGCCAGATTGGGAAGAAGCGACGAACACTCGTAGTCTGAACACTAAGTGGAAGCAGTAATCGTAGCCACTCGTTGATGGTCTTTGAGCCAATCAGAACCGGCCAATCGTCACTTGGATCCGCCCAATTCTTCGCTTATTATTGATCTACTTCATGCCTGATTCCACACGAATATATCATCGATTGACATGTTCTTCAACGTTAAATATACACATGCATTGTGTACGCACGCACAAAGGAGCACCCCGCTACTGCCAAATATATGATATGACATGATAAGATATGATGTTACATGATACCTTATGATATTATATTATGTACTTCTGCATTCATCTTCATCTTTTCTTCTCTACGAGTTTATCGTTTCATAGAAAAAAATGTAAATAAAGAGATTTCACCATTTCATCTCTCTTATACCCATGTCTGTGCACGTAATCACTTAGACAGCGTTCAGACTTCGCGATGAGCGCGTCGACGCGCTGTGATTGCAGCAGCGCTTCAATTCTATAAACGCGACGTAACCGCAGAGGGAATCGATGGGCTCCGACCTTGCGGTCAATACCGATCGATACGGGACTGCGTGAATAGGCAACGCGCACCCTAGAGTTCTTCCATACTCTCTCAATACACTAACGGCGCCGATCGATATAGCGCGTCGAAGCGCGTCATCGCGGAGTCTGAACGCTGCCTTATGTATAACAACAGTGAGAAAATCAACAAACAAATAAATAAACAAGGATGCTCAAAAATGACTTGTAGACAATCTAAAGAGAAAAAAAACACTTTTTAAAGAACCATGAACTGCTCCAAGATTATATCTCGCAGCTTGAGATACAACGGGCCTGCGCATCCTTCAATATGAAATCTGCCAGCTTCATTACGTCGGATTGAGATCACTCCTAAAATAAATCATAATCGAAATGCAGCCCGACTCACTAACCTAGGGTTTTATTTGGGCAGCATCTGGCTACAAATCAATTTTACCAGGTTGAGAACTTCAGCGTTTATGAGATACACATCGATTCCTCGTAATCACATAATTGTATTACTGGTATAGGTGACGGCTGGATGTAACGCTGTTTCACCAAAGAATCGGACTGTAAGGTATCGGTGCTGTACTGTGTCTACCGTCCATATCATGGCCCCTGTAAGAGGCGGGTCCACGGAAATAATTGAGTGCTTAGTGGCAGCTGCGTATCCGCAGAGCGTTGTCGGTTTACAGCAGAGAG